CGCACGTACGGCCCAAGGCCTTGCACGTGCGGCTCTGGCCTTCCTATCTGAAAAAACCTCAGCTTCTCTCCTGATACTCTGGAGTTAACCTCGCACTCTCCGGGACAAGTGAAAACTCGGAATTTGAAACAAACAAGGACGAAAATTTTAAAGAAAAGTTTTCAAAAACAACGAACTCAACTGTTAACTGGGCCACACTTTGGAATCCGACGTTTCAACGAAGGTAAATCAAACATAAGTCAAGGGAACAAGGCAAAATATGCATCGGTCATCACATCTAATTTCATATTTTAAATTTTAAAATATTTCTTTAATAAAATTATTAATTTTTAAACCATTTCGTTGAAATTTATCAAATAAGATATGTGTTGATAATAAAGTTCTACAGAAAAAAAATAGAGTAAAATTTTATTATCCATGTTAACATTAACAAACTTGACAAGTTGCTAACAAAATTATAAAATTAATTCTGAACATTCCTAAATATGTCTGTCATGTATATAAAACAGTTTTCAAAATATTAATTTCAATGGTTAGATAAAAATTTATTAAGAAAAAAACTACATATAATGAAACGTATGCTATTGATGGCAAAATTTCACTCTATTCAAAATAAAATTTTACTTTACTCACATGTCATGTAGCATGACTAGTAAAAATGGATAATGAACTTGGAGAGAGATGACAACCAAAGAATTACAAAGTCAAGATAGCCAAATCCAAATGAGTTGTATGGGAATTTTTTTGAACTTTTTATTTTTAGTGATTTTTTTTAAATTATATCAAAAATTTTTATTTTTTTTTGTATATTTTTTTGTAGACGAATCTAAAGAGTAAAAAAAATAAGTTAAAAAGCTAAAAAAAGTCAAAAAATAGTTCCTTTTTTTTTTTGTTTTTAAAATTTTTTAGATTTGTCTCGTCATATTTAGTCTAAATTTTTTTGAAATTTTTAAAAAGCAATTCACTAAAAGCAAAAATTAGCCAACAAAAAAAATTAAACCCTAAACACTCGCTTAACCACATATTCTCCATCTTTAGGAGCTTCCCCATAAATCCTACCCTCTTCATGAATTCTTATAAACCCATACTTATTCATCATGTGATGAAGTACCAGTTCCATTGCTTTAGTATGGATAGCAACAAGTGAGCTAGATGTTGTTGCATAGACACGTTTTAATGTGTAATCTAAGCCAAGAACCATCATTAATTTGAGGATATGGAGTGGTGTTAATGATAACAAGGCCACTATATGTGGCAATGATGAGTCATTGAAAGGAGATTGAGAACTTGAACTGTTGAAAACATATGGATTAATTTGTGATGTAAGGGCAAATCAGTCATAAAAAAATATGAAAGTGTGGAGCGCGGACTTAAAGTGTACGAAATTTTAAAAATTGAGGGACTAATGTATTAAAATCTATTGCAATGTTCTACTCTAATAATAAAACGGTTTGAAGGGACTTTTCACCAAATTTGCCTTTGTTTTCTTTTTGATTGTGTCTGAAAAAATAATAGGACTTGCTATAAAATTGGTGTAAAACGCTTCCAATGTTTTTCTTGGAAAAATTATTGTATGCTCATGAAACAACACCCCAACTGCTGAGGAGCCACAGGTTTTAACCAAACCAAATACCTTCTCTTGTTATTTGTTTATATATTATTTTATTTTTAGTGATGATGACAATAATATAAGGTTATGTTTAATTGGGGGTTTGGGAGGGAGTATTGGATTATTAATTTGTGAGATTCGTCAAATCTATGTTTGTGCATGACAAAATGTCATGGGAGTAGCAATCTCGTAGGAGTATGAATCTCCTCCCATGGTGGGATTAACATTCTAATGGGAGGGTTGGGATAAGGGGTAATTCTATTTCCACACATTAATTTCTCTCTGTACACACTTAATGAATACTTTCTCAATACACACATTATAAAAATATAACTTCTCAGTACACATCTCTATATTCTACTGTTACCCTCATTTTCAATTTTAAAACCCTAAGACTATGTTTGGTTTTTATTTTTGAATTAATTTTTTGAAATTTTTATGAGAAAAAAATAAATTAATTTGACAAAAATAAATACCAATTTTTTTTTAAATTTTTAAATTTTTTTTGTCCCCTAAAAAGATGAAACCATATTGAAATAAGAAGTTTTTTTAATTTATTTTTGAAAACATATTCTCAAACTATACTAAACAGAGTCTATTTTTTATTTTTTATTTTTCCATTCATCCACTCATCTTTTATTGTTGTTGCCGCCACTTTCAATCCTCCATCGCCACCACCATCTCTACTTTTAGCTCATCTCCCTCCACCCTGGACCTCCACAGTCAACTTTGAGTGATTCATGGTGAGAGACTTATGGGAGTATATGGTTCATGGCAGAAAATGATTGTATGCGGATAAGAAAAGAGGCAACGGGAGGGGATGGCGGATGAGAGAGGTGACGTTGGCGATAAAGGATGGTTGTGGCGTTTTAGAAATAGGATTTGAGTATAAGAAGATGAGGGTATTATGATATTTTTATTCTAAGAAAAAATTGTATTAATGAAAATTTTCATTAAGTATGTGAACCAAGTGGAATTAGTATGTGGAAATAGAATTACCTTTGGAATAGCTAATTCCCTCACATAAATTCATGGTTCAATTACTATTTTGCCCTCTACTTTACAAAATCAACAAAATTATATTATATGTGATGAGGGTTTTTAGGTAATTTTATAAATTTAGTCCTAACAAACTAATACCATTGCACTAGTATACAAACAAAAACACTTTATCTTATATCTCCAACTAAGTACCACCACACTAATAATCTCCTCGCATAATCTTACCATACTTATAATCTCATCAAATCTAACCTGCCAAACAAACGAAACCTAAATCTTCCCCCCACAGGGCCATATTAGACCCATCTCTACAAACTAAACCCTGAATGCTTGTAATAACCAACAAATCATAAGTATCGATTAAGTTCGAAAGACACTAACAAGAATCGAACTCAAGATATTTGGATTTACAGTTCATCCAAGAGACCAATTGCTTTGTTACTAACCGTCAAATACAGTAACAATACTGCCTAAAAAAAGTCATCAAGTATGATTAAATCCAATTTGTTATTATTGGTAGGCACAATTGATAATTGAAGATACAATTATGATAGAGGAAGGTGATTTATTAACTGAATTATTGGTGTACATGATCCAACACTAACCAAACAGGGTTCATTCATCTTCCTGGAATTGGATCCATTATTGAAGCAGGTTTTGTCATTGAGCCCACATTTGGTACTTTCCCCTATCTCCATGGCTTTTTGTGTAATAAAGGAATTTTGGCTCAAGTAGGGCCCTGTTTGTTGTGATCCTAAAACCAAGCCTTATGATTGGGAAATTTGCTTTGAAAAGAGCATCTTTATAAAAAATGAACTTTTTTCTTTTCCTTTTCAATGTCAACTTTCCAATCATCACAATTAGCTCAAGTTATTCAACGTTATCTATCCCGTGTAATTCCGTTTTGAACATAAAAAAATAAAAAAAAATATTTATAGAAAGAAGTAAGAATGTAAGCTAGAATCAAATCCAAACGGAGAAATTTGAACTCATCAATACCTCCCTTAAGCTAAATTCTAATATCATGTTTAATAAAAAAAAAAAATTCTAAAAGTTTAAGTTTTTAAAAATCTTCGACAAGAAACAAATGAGATTTTAGGCTGAAAAAGTTAATAATTAATTATGAGCACCCACTAATTGTTGGAAGAAAAAAAGAAAGAAAGAAAGAAAGTAGAGTAATATAGTACTTGTGAATGGTATCTCTACGAGAGATTAGTGAGATGATGCGTCTTATTATGCACCTGCAATAGAAATTCAAAGTCAGAGATCACCCTGACCTGGTTTAGTCTGAAGGATCTTTTAGCGATCAAGTCAGTACTTTGGTCAGACATGGTTATATACGAAAAATAGTAATGAAAAAGGAGTTTTGTGTGGTTTTTCTATATTTTTATCCCCCTTTGCCTATTTACTCGATTCCCTTTTATAATCGATCGGCACATTGTTGTTGATCATATGATTTTTTTTGATCGGACAATCAGTCTTTTGTCAAGGACTAATTTGATAGTGGTCGACTTGTAATTGTTATTGATCGTTAGATTTCTATCGATTAAACAATCGGCCTTTTGTCAAAGACAGTGGCCAACTTGCTTTTATTATTGGTCATTAGATCTTTGTTGATCGGACAAATATCCTTCTATAAGAGGTCATTTCGGTAGTGGCCAACTTGCAATTGATGTTGATCGTTAAATCTACCCTGATTGACAAGTTATCCTTCTGTCAGGGGTCAATTGTGATTTGAGTCCGATTGCGTTCGATATGCCCGGTCAGATTGGTCAACTCCTTCAATTTTGGGCCTGATTCATTTGGGCTTATGTTTCTCTTGGGCTGGAATTTCACTCTCCACAGTTTCACCAGGCCTCCACAACTACAAAGCACAGGCAAATTTATGACTCTAACCTTTTTGGGGGGGAAATGTACGTGTAATATTTAACCCCGATTGACAGGTTATCCTTCAGTCAGGGGTCAATTGAGATTTGAGTCCAATTGTGTTCGATATGCCCGGTCAGATTGGTCAACTCCTTCAATTTTGGGCCTGATTCATTTGGGCCTATGTTTCTCTTGGGCTGGAATTTCACTCTCTATAGTTTCACCAGGCCTCCACCACTACAAAGCACAGGCAAATTTATGACTCTAACCTTTTGGGGGAGGAAATGTACGTGTAATTAAGAGGTTATTTGGGATAATCTAAATAAGTATAATTTTTAATTTTTTAGGAAAAGATGTATAAAAAAATAGAGAAGTGATTTGACCTAAAACAAAAAATATATATACATATATATAAAAAGTATACTTATTACCTCAAACCAATCCTAAATTTTTTGTAACAAATGCATAATATACAATGTCAATTTCTATCAACACAAAATGAGAAGAATATTATAAAAATATATATCACTAGATGTTTCTATTCACTATATATAATTACAAAAATATAATCAAAATACAATACCATATATTCTCGAGCATACATATCAATTTTTACAAATATATATATATATATATATATTGCTCTATCTATCTACTAAACTTGCCTTCAATACTCTTTTATAATACAAAACGCATCTATGATATATCAAAATCTCGAGCACTTGTCTTTCTCAATATATGCAACCCAGTAATTTGATGTCTGCAATATTATCTTTGAGCGTTTGGTGTTGGAATATGGAGATTCCAGAGCATGATTTTGGAGCAACCCTTTGCTGGGATTCCTATCAACTTTGTCTCCTCTTCAAGAACTTCTTTCTTCACAAATTTAATTGTATTCTGTACGATAATTAAGTATAAGATGAAAAAATAAAACTGACATCAATTAGTGTACAATTTTGAGTAATAATATACAAACTGAAATTATATACCGAATGATGTGATAAAATTATAGATGTATTTTGCTTTAAAATGAAAAAAAAAAAAATGTTTTGGAAAGATAGTTAAAAATTGACTTCTTTTTTTTTTTTTTTTTTTTTTTTACTTTTTTAGCTTTTTTTTACTGATTTATCTCAGAGGTGATGTGACCCAAAATGAATTAAAAAATGACTAATGACTTTTAATCCATCTTTCCAAATAGCTCCTAAGATGCTTTTTAATATCAAAATTGTCACTAACGTAAAGACTGAGTGATACATGTTATGCTGGTGTATTATTTGTTACATTAAATATAATTTATTAAAATGATTAAAATTAATAAAATATAAAGTAAATAAATAGTAAAATGAGAGAGTATGAAAGTTTGTCCTTAGATGGTAACTACTAAAATATATTTTAAATTTTTTTCATTAACGATCAATCAACTTGGTTTGATATTTGTTGCGATTACTTCAACTATTTTCTATCATACACTTTGCTAATTTATAAAGAGTTTTAAATTATAAAATGTCAGAGTTTGACCAAAACAAAATACAAAATTCAAATAATCAGTTGAAAACACATCTTAAAGTTAATGCAATGGAAATCCAGCTGCATTATTGAAAGCACATTTAGGCATATATATAATGGGAAAGATTATGGTACACATTTTTTAAAGAGTGTATACTTTATATACCTTATAATTAAAGAAAAAATGACATAATTTTATATTTTTTGAATCATAACTAAAACAAAAAAAAGTTATAATCAAACAATATATGAGACCTAACAAAATATCTCATGAGTCATAACTAAAAAAAATTTAATTATAATTTAAAGTTGCATATAATAGATAGTGTATATAATAAAATTTTCCATATATACTATAATATCTATCCATATTAAAATTTTCCATATATATACTATAATATCTATCCATATTAATAAAGAGGGATGCCCCACTCTTCGTTCGTCCCTTTAAAATGACCATTTTACTCTTTTTTTTGTTTTTTTGCCCTTGTTTGCTTTTTTTCTTTTTTTGGGTTTAGCCCTTATGTTATGTGTTACCATTATGTATTGTTGTTTTGATCGAAAATTCTATGGTATACACCATTTTAAGGGTGTGTATTATATATATATATATATATATATATATTTTTATATGTTTTTGTAATATATGTCGTATGTATTTTTATGGTGAGGGTTGGGCTTCCCTTCAGTTTGTGATCGAATTGGAGAGTATTATTGGACCTGTGTGGGCCCATCACGGGGCCCGTTTTGATAATCTGAACTGTTCAATGTGTAGAACTCGTCGAGTACTATATGGTTGTTATAAATCACGTTGATCGGATATCGATAGCTATCTCATCGGATCAGTTTTTGTTAACCGTTTATTTTTTCACTGTCTATTTTTTTTATTATACAAAACTGATTTGATCACATAGCTATTGATATCTGATCAACGTGATGTTTTAATACTCGACGAGTTCTATATATTGAACGGTTCAGATTATCAAAACGGGACTCATGGTCTGCCTCTACGAACCTAATAGTACCAGTCCGTATCGGACTGGAGGGAAGCCAACCCCTTATGGTAAATGTTACATTTTTCCTTGTAAGAGTTATGACAATTTGTGATTCATACATGAAGTTACGCATCTTTATGGTAATATTATGCATTTTGTAGTATTGTTACACATTTTATGATTAGAAAATGTTTAGATTAAAAAAATATGTAACATTATAAAAAAAACACGTAACACTATCATAAAATGAGTTCCTTCATTTTTTAATTACAAATTGTTGTAACAATTACCAAAAAATACATAATATTTACTATAAAATACATAACATTTACCACAAAAATATATAACAAAGTGCATATGGTACCCATAGCATTACCTTATTTTAATTGATAGATATGTTGAGAAAATTTGTTAAAATTCATTCAATATTATTTATACTATAAATTTCCAAATTAAATATCATAACTATCTATCAATATATATAAATCCGTTTGATTGTAGTATTATTTTTTTATTCATAAGATAAAATACGATGAGATTATTCATAGGATTGTAAAGGATAAAATTGATATTTACACGATGAGATTAGATATGATATGACGAGATAATTGATAAGATTGTAAGAATAAAGTTATACTATGAAATTAGGTGAAATGACAAATTAAGAGATAAAATACGATGAGATTATTGATAGGATTGCAAGGATAATGTTATATTGTGAGATTAAATATATGATGAGGTCATATATAAGGTTATGAAAGATAATAAATAATTGAATAGAATGAGTGAGCTATTATATTTGATTAGGATGAAATAAAAAAATAATTATTTTTTAGTGTTGAATAAAAAAATTATATGGAAACTACATATGATATTATTTACTCCCCTTATTTTTTTCCTATTGAATTCTTCATAACAATATTAAAATTATCTAAAATTTAGTGCCATGCAAAAACAAACACTGAATTAGATTATCTTGTGGAAATTATTTATTCCTCTCATCCATCTCATCTCCCTTATCTCACAATCAAACACCATATTAATAAGAAAAAATTATGAGTCAGTGGTAATTTTTAAAAATCATTACACATAAATACAAAAATTATAAATTTTATTATGAATATTTACAATGTTTATAACTTTTTCTAATTAATTTTTCTAACTTCCATTATTTGCCCTATTAATATTTCGATAAATCCCACATATTCCCTTTTCAATCAATTCCATCTTAATACTTCAATCAAACATGTGCATAAAGCATGCATGCTCCTCTCATTGTTTCCTTTGTCCATTATGAAAAATCATTTTCCGCCTCCTTGAATGTATACGTTGTGGACTGTTTGCCATTGAGACCACACATTTTTTTGTCACAAAGAAAATTATATTTTTTTTTATACATATAGGTATTTAGAATTGAATATATAAATTATTTTCAAAATATGTGTTTTGTGTCATTTTGATCATAATATTTTAAATATGTCAATTTAGTCATAATATTTTAAATGAATATAAAGACCATTTAATAACAAAATTAATAGTCTAATATTGAGAACTAATTAAACTAAAAGAAATCATATATTTCAAGGACTATTTTTATTCATATAATTATTATTATTTTGTATGATAAGTATTTTTTTTTTTTTTGAAAAATAAGCTTTTGTAGTAATTATTTAAAAATGTGTTTTTGTTTTTGTTTTTGTTTTTGGCGAAGTCTTACCTTTTACACAATTTTTAATGTTTTAAAATAGGATTAAGAATTTTATTTTTTATTTTTTAGTACTGTTAAAACGAATTATATTAATAAAATAAAAAATATATAAGTTCACGACAACAAAAAGTCAATATCAAAAGGAAAGTGACTAGACCCAGCATCATCAAATTTAGAGTAAAAAACAAAGGCAACAACATCAATCGAAATGGTTGTTAGAACGAACACTTTCAAAGACGTAAATAAAAAAGAAGAGAGGAGTCTGAAGCACTGCCAACACCCTACAAAGCAATCACATTTAGATGAACACAAGTGGAACAATCTCTAAATGTGATGTTAAAGGAACTTTAAATTTAAATTTAAATTTAAATTAAAATACATGTCAAAATTAGATCATTTTAACATTGTTTAGACTTATAGTTCTCTAAAAATATAGAGGCAAAATTCAAAGATAACCCAATGGGCGATGGTTAAGATTGAAATTGTATAAAAGATGTATGAAAATGTATATAAAATAAGAAATATATAATGAAAATATGTTAAATGTGCATTGAAATTGTAATTTTTGTAATTATTATTTGAAAATTAACAAGCATTCATTGAGCAGTGAATACCGTCACCCAAATATAAATTACATATATATATATATATTAAATAAGTCATCAATATAAATATTATGACCTATTATAGAAACTAATTATATTTAAACAAGAAATTCCATTTGAAATATTTTATTTGTATATATTATTTTGATTTATGAAATAAAATAAGAGGTGTTTTGGAAAGATGGTAAAAAGTTAGTTTTTGACTTTTTACCAAGTTTTTTTGATTTTTATAGAAAGTGATTTAGAAAGTTGATAAAAAATTAATTTTGATTTTTTTGATTAAAATTTATTTATGATGTCATATCACAATTAAATGACCAAAATACGCCTATCCAATTTGATAAATTTACATTTTTCATCTATGTATAACACTTAGGGCTGGTTTGGCATAGACTATATAATCCATCTTTTTATCTTTTTTTCATCACATCACCTCTCTACTTTTCTGCACATCTTTTCGTAAAAAGACAAAAAGTATACTTTTTTAGAACATCCCAAACCAACCCTAAATAACATGAAGGTATAATGATAATTTCACATGTAACTTTTTTTGACTTCTCAAATGACTTTTGCTGAAAAAGTCAATCAAACTTTTTATCCCCAAACTGCAAAACGCAGCTTTTAATCTTGGTTTCCAAATGAGCACTAAATATAAAAATTAAAATTAATTATACTAGCGTGCGTGGCACGCCGCTTTGTCACTAGGAATATATGAAATGTTTGGTCAAAGGGAAAATGAAAAACATCTTGAACATGTTTCCTGGATTCAATTCAACATTGCAATGTGAACAGGATTTCTCACTGAAAGATTAAAGACAATTGGAAAAGCAAACAAGTAAATGATAATTCTAGTGAGATCTACGGTGGTAAAAGACCTAAATAGCTTAATTTGATTCATGTTTAATTAGTTAAAAATTCGTTCAGACTCAATTTGTTAAATAAATTAATTAATTTGAGACTAAGTAAATAAATTAATTTGGGACAAATCTTAGATTATTAAAATTTTTAAACTAAACTTAAACAATTAATTGCTTATTGGATTTAGTTCAATTAGCCTAAAACTATATGAATAAACTAAACTATTTGAGTTCGGCTAAAAAAAAACTCGTGTAAAATCAACTTGAATGTTTAATGAATCAAGTTTGAACAAATTTTGAAATTCTTTAAAGTTTTCAAACAAAACTTGAACAATTCGGCTCGTTTATCACCCATAGTCTCCGGAAATGTCACAGGACGATTGTGAACAATTTTATCACATAATCGCATTTGTCATTAAAAATAGATAGTATATTTTCAAAAATACAATTATCATCTACTTTTTTGGAGACAAATGTGATAAATTGAACATACTATAATTATCAAATTGATCAATTTTTTTTATGGATGATATTCATAAAAAATTTTACAAAATAAATAATTCGGACTATCAAAATAGGACTTGTATCTATGACTGAAGGAAGTCCAACTCTATTAAAATGGTTAACAAGAGGCAATTAACTAGCATATTTTGGAGTTAGCTCTTAGGCATCAATTGTTATGTTGGATATACCTGTGATGTGTCTTGGACAGAAGATGAGCGACCCCATCTTTCAGGGTCCCACAGGATTGAACTGTTGAATGCAAAGCTAGAAATATGAACTGGTGAACTTGTATCTGTTAAATTGTTCATATTACTCAGATGCCATCCTACAACTTCTGAAGAATCACATACAGGTCCTTCAATCATCACCATCTTCTTATTTGCAGATAGCATTGCCATTGGCCATGTCCCAAACACCCTACAAATTTGCTTTCCAATTTCATAATTAAATGCTTTAAGAAATAAAGGGTATTGCAATTCTAGTTTAGAAATTAGATCTATTTTTCAAATAACAATCAATTAAAATATTTAAGATAACTCTCTTTTTCTCTCATATCTTCTTTATTATTAACTAATAAACTAGGTCTAAAAAATTAACTTGTACTGTATATCATTTTCTAAAAAATTGACTTGTATATCATTTTCTTCTCTTAAAAATTTAAAATTATAGATTACTTATTGTGTATTGATGGGGATAAAATATCAGTTGAAGATACATTAAATAACAATATTACATATTTTAATTTATCATTCCTAAATGACCCCTAATAATGTGACACTGAGGTTAGATCCTACATAATGTTTGATAAATCAAAATTTGATATTTGTCAAACACATCATTAAAAATAATTTTTATAAGTAACAAATTAGATATCTCAAATATTTTTCTACTTCAAATCCTACTCAATTAAGCTTCAACTAAAGAGCCAAATGTTTGGTCTTATGCCAGATTTGTATAGTAAAATGAGTGTCAATTTATATATATATATATATATATTCTATGAGACTCACAATAAAGAAAAATATTTGATCTATACAAAAACATTCTTCTGGAATTGTCTAAATGGATATCTGATGTGTAAGATAATTCGGACAATTAAAATACATTCATTTTGACAATTCAAACATAAATAAATTCAGTAGATATAGTAATACTCCGCAATAAATTAGATTTTTATAAAAATTTGACATGTGACTAACAAAAACTTAACATCTTGACATATCAAGTGAACTAATTTCTTTTAGAGGGTCAAATTTACATATCATTTAAAAAAATAATTTAACTAAATTAATTTTAAAGGTATACTAAAATATACTCGGAAAGAGACAACCGTTAAAAAAAAAAAAAAAAAAAAACACACACACACTTTTGTCTTGAAGCACCTGAAAAGGTAAAATATTTTAAATAAAACCTGCTCCACTTTTAGAGTGGACATGACCTAGAAAACCTAATAGTACCAGTCCGTATCGGACTGGAGGGAAGCCAACCTTACATCATCTTATTTAAGTCACATCACCTCTCTAACACATCACTTCAAACCCAACCCAAACCCAATTTATATTTCATAAAAAGTCAAAAAGTACACTTATTTAGATCATCCCAAACAACCCCTATAGAGTGGACATGACCTACAAAACAGAACTAAAACCTAAGTCATCAGACCAATTGTCATTTTCAACGGTTAAATGAGTGAGACATGTAGAAGATGTTTAAGACATCTAGAAGATGTTTAATGTGAAAAAGTGGGAAAATTAGAACAATGACAGAGAAGGTTAGGTAGCGTTTGCTACGTTTTTTATTTATATTTATAAATTTTTTATAAATTAATTTTTGTTTATTTTTTTAAAAATATAAATTATAAATGCATTTGATTTGGACAAAATATTTAAAAAATTTTAAAAATATAAATTTAAAAATATATTTATTCAGGCTTAAAATATTTATATTTATTTTTTATTACTTATGACAATGGGATCATACACATTATAATTGAAAAAAAAAAGGCAAATTACATATACCTCCCTTGAGGTTTGGTCAAATTACAGATATTCCCTGAGATTTCGAAAATTACATCCCCTTAAGGTTTGTATTTTCATAACAATTTGTCCCCTGAGGTTTAAATTTCATAACAAATTACCTCCTAATTTGTTATGCAAATATAACATTTAGGGAAAAATTTGTAATTTCTCAAACCTCAGGGGGTATTTGTAATTTAGCCAAATCTCGAGGGGTATATGTAATTTGCCAAAAAAAAATTTGTTAGTAAAATTTTTAAATTTCTATTTAAAAGCCAATGTAAACTCATTTTTTGAGTTTACATTTTTTCCTCAAATTTATAAACTGAGACAACCATTTATAAACTAAAAAAATTATCAAACAAATTTTTATGACAACTTTTTAAATTTTTGTAAATATAAATTAAAAATTAAAAATGAAATAATTACCAAACAAGTTCTTAATATTTGAGTTTTAAAGAGAGTTTTACATATTTGATAAGGAAAAAAAACAAAAAAATCAAACACTTAGGTACATACATTACATAATAGGTGGATTCCATCCATTTAGAGCTCTTCTAAAGCTCTCTTTCTAAAACTCTCAATCATTTTTGGTGATCTTCGGCCAAATTTGTATTGTGACTTAGGGAATGTTTATTATTTTAGTTAAAGAGATTGGTTTCGTTCTAGTCCTTTGTCGGATTGGAGAAGTACTATTGAGTTTATTGAGTTTACTTTTTGGTTTCGTTTTTGATAATTCGAATTGTTCATATTTTAAAATTCGTCGAGCATATTAGTTTTGTAAAAATTGAGTCGATCGGATAACGAAAATTAGGTATGTTTGGTTTGTGTTTGAGAGATGTGTTTTAGAGATAAAAAATACGAAAAGTTGTTTGGTTTGGTTTTTTTCAAAAAGATGTTTTGGAAAATTATTTTGAGAGAGAGTTTTGGAAAAAGTGATTGATTTGATGTGTGTGAGAGAGAGATTTGTTTGGAAAATTTGTTTGGTTTACAAGTTTTGAGAAATTTTTTTGGGAAAATTTGTTTGGTTTGATTACTTTTAAAAACTTATTTGTAGAGAAAATTTCCCAAAAAATTTTCAGAAATACAAACCAAACGAACCCGTATTCGGATAAGTTCGTATAAAAAAAAGTAGACAGTGAGAAAATAAATGGTTTATATAAAATTGATCTCAATACGCGACTGTCGTTATCTAATCGACTCGATCTTTTACAGGGATGATATACTTGACAATTTTTAAAATGTGAATGATTCGGATCACTAAAGTATGGCTCAAAAGTGGGCCCACTAAGCCCAACAGTATCTCTCTAGTCCTCCTCTAAGCCCAACAGTACCTCTCCAGTCTGATGAAGGACTGGAGAGAAACCAATCTCTTTAATTAAAATGTTAAAATTTTAAGAAACAACTTAACAAATGTCAAATAATAAATAGTATAAAACATTAGTCCAAAATTAACAAATAATCTCTCTAAAAAACAGGTTGTGTGCATTAGAGAAATACAAAAATAGGCGAATTTATTTAGTCACTAGAAATTCCAACTTTTGGAAGACTTGTTTGTTAGGGCTCAAAATTATTAGCTGTAAATTTAAAAGGAAAATAATATATAAATCTATTTTTTAGAGAAATTCTAAGTAAGTGATATAATTGGTTGATAATTAATAAGAAATGTGAGAGAGTAGATATCCTAATTTAAAATTATCCAAACACTAAGGCCTCGTTTGGGAAGTGGCTATTTTAGTAGGCTATTTGGCTTTTTGACTATTTTAGTAGGTTATTTTAGTTTTGTGTTTGGGAAGTTGGGTTAAATTTTTATTTGAGTTGGTGTATTAAAAAATGTGTTGAAAAGGTGTTTGTAATTAAAGTGACCATTTTATCCCTGCAATTATATATTTTTTAATTTCCGATTGAGGGGCAAAATGGTAATTGAGCTGTTGATGTAACATTTCCGGTTGTGACAGCCTACACTGTCCAGCAGTCAGCCTATATTTTATTTTATTTTATTTTTTTTTTGGAAAATCAAGAAAAAGTTGCTACAGTGTAGCTTTTGGGCTGATTTTCAAAATTAGGCTATAATAGCCGGGAAGTCATGTTCCCAAACAGGCCCTAAATTTGACTTCAAAATTCCCTCCCAAATGGCCTGCAATCTATCTTCTCTATAAAAACCTCTTCATTTTCAATTTTTCCTCTATGTTTTTCCCTAGTAAACTATGAAGAATTATAAACTATATTACTTTGCTACTTCTATCATAAAGATTATCATAGCAAAAAAAGATAAAGAACACGTACTCAATGGCTCTGATCTCATCGAAGAAGCTCAAATCATAAACATTGGAGAGCCCGGCAAAGTGAACGATCCCACTTAGCCTATGGTGCTCGATGTGATTCAACGCAAGGTTCCTTTGATGATCCATTTCCGCTTCAAAATCAGTAAAATTCTCTTTGAACACCAAATGACGGTACATAATACCCGTTTTTCTAAGTATTTCAGAAACTCGAGCTGAATTAGACTTTTGCTCCACAACCATCCACAATAATGGTGGAGGAACTAATCTCAATGTGTTTGTTAGCCTCCTTAGATGGACCGCTCTAAGGCGATCCTTCACACTAGTCGGTGTGACAACAATTATGAGCCTATTGGGGATCAACTCGACTTTTTCCAAATTTGTTAATCTCTCATGCTCGAATTCAAACTCAGACTCAAACTCAAACTCAAACTCAGACTTTGACTTTGACTTTGTTGGTATTGCCACAATAGGAGTTTCATCTAACAAACTTGTGTTGAAACTGTCACTCTGTGTTCTTGCTTGGCTCGGACTCAAACTCAGACTCAGACTTTGTGGTGAAAATGCTGATCTATTCGATGCGACAACAGGTCTAGAAAAAAGTGACTTACCCGTTGGGGCGAAGCCGGTGAAGAATCCCATAACAAAACACAAGAAGAAGTGGAATATAGCTTTATTGTATAATTGGACCTTTTTCTTGGATCTTTCCACTGTACCCATATCGATGACCGGAAAAGTTGTCGGAATCTGACTTTTCCGGCAGCTATGGATGAACTTGAATGAAGATAAATAAGTTGGAAGGGAACTAGAAAAGTAGAAGACTAAGGTGACATATGATTGGCATTGGTGAACTTTATAGTTTAGCTGTTTTTTGGGGTTTTGAGATATTTGAGAGGTTGAGGCATTGCTTCACAAAGTCATCACTTGAAGCTAAAGAAAAGATGGGCAAGTGAAGTAATATATAAAGAATGAAAATGAGGACCTGAGTTGCTATCTGCACCAAATAGTTGTTGAGATACAAACTCATCAACTGCAATGCACTATTAAATAAAATAAAAATAAAAATAAAAATAAAATATTTACTTTACTTACTTTGGTTTATTTCATGTGCAAACCACCCATTATCATTTGGAACAAATTATATAATCTCTTATGATTTGTGAATTGAAATGCACTGACATGCATTTTGTTCAAGTTGACAGTAAATATGAAACACGTGTTAAGCCATAAAGGGTTATGTGCTCATTTCTAAATGTTAAGGAATAAATTGCACATGGAATAAAACACGTGGAGTTAAAGTTACTTTCCAAAAAAATGACAATATATTTGTAATTTACATAATGAAATTACTTATATATAGTTTAGTCCTTTTTTTTTAAGTCGTTAACATGCCTAGCAGTGCTCTTTAATCTACAAATCACAGGAGAGTTATATTATTATTTTTAAATGATGAGAGTTATGTGCACATAGACAGACCAGATCATAATAAAATGAAGTAAAATTAGCCCAAAAATAAATTTACATTATTTTTTATTTTTTAATCTCACCTAGTATCTAAATATCTTCTTATGACTACTTGATCTACAACTAGAGTCCCAGTAATCTACCATTGAGATAAGGAATTTCAAAAAAATCGGATGAACCAATTTAATCAACTAAACCAAATTGAACCGGCAGATTTTGGTTTTTTAAATTTTATTGAATACAATTTGTTTAGTTTTTGGTCTGATAAACTTTATATATATATATATATATAATCCGATTTATAATGATGTTCAACTTTTGTTAACTGAACCTCATTAATTCATATGTATAATAATTCAGCAAAGATTTTTTTTTTTTATACGTGTGCAAATGATGATCTGTATGTAATACTTCACTAAAGACTACTCGATTTTTTATTTTATTTTGATAAAGAGTTTTAGTGGGCTTGTATTTTGATGAAGACTTGTGATTTCTATTTTTTTTTTTAAAAACAAATTTATATTTGTTATGAAATATATGCATGAAGCATGAATAATCACATTTAATATTTTACAATAGTTTTTACAAATTTAGGTTTATAGGATAGGATAGTAAATGTATTACTATACTATTTCATAGCATGTGTAATTCTCTATAAAAGAAGATGCAATCTATTCATTTGAAATATAAAAAGAAGTAAAGTAGAAAGAAAGAGTTGAGATCATAAGAGAGTGAGAGCAATACTGAAATATATAGTTAAATTATTGAATAAAATATAACATACTTAGATCTTGAAGATCTATATTTAAAAGTTCTGAATAATCATATAAAAGTTTTGTAAGACTTTAATTCTAATTATATAATGTGTTCAGTTTATTATTTTATCTACTTTATATTTTCTTAATTTTTATAACAAGTTAAAACATATTGTGGACTGGTGAAATTGTTAAAAACTTGGGTCCAATTTCATTTATTTTTCCAATAAAAACAATTTCAAGTTCAAGTTCGGTTTGGTAGCCAATTTTCTACTAATACCAAATCAACCGAATTGAACTGTTGGGATGGTTTTGAGTTGAACATTACTTTGAAAAAAAATAATAATAAAATAATTACACCAAGACTACTTTAATTATTAGTGAATATTCTTCACCTATATATTGTATATTTTGGCCCCTTCTAGCATAAAATTGTATCACTTTCGCTTATTCCAAACCATAATTTAAAAGAGTGGTGCTATTAGTACCCTATGAATTATTTTGAACTTTTCATTTCTTTGGGCCCCCACTTATAAATTTTAAAACCTTCAAAATTTCTTTTCCCCCCTTAAATAATACCAAAATTATCCTTGTGAAAACATTCCACCTATTAAATGCACACTCCCCACACCCCTACACCCCAAAACAACCAATCTTCCAAAAAAACCCTAACAAAACCCACCAAGTATGAAAACTTCTGCAAGTGTTAACAATTTTGATCGTTCGATGAGTTAAGAAATTTCCATGTTCAGACTAGCATTCCCGAACATTACTTATTTGTTCGGGAATGCCTTCCGCAAACAAATAAGTAATTTTCGGGCTTGTATTCCTGAACTTGAAAAAATGAAAACTTCTATAAGCGTTAATAATTTTGACTGTTTAATGTGTTAAAAAATTTTCATGTTTGGACTTGCATTCTTTAACATTATTTATTTATTCAGGAGTGCCTTTCCGAACAAATAAACAATGTTTGGGCTGGTGTTCTCAAATTTCGATCATATGTTCGGGAGTTTAGTCTCGAACAAATGACGAACAAATTTTATTATTTTTGTCATTTTTTTCAAAAAACTTATCTTTACAAAGCCAATCTTCTCTGAGTTAAGAACAACATCAAAGGTATGAACCTCCTCTAAGCTTTTATTGTTGCACTCCTCTTGTTTTATGGAGTTGTAGTTACCAAAAAAATTTCTACTCATTGTCATTGTCAGAGGAGTATAGGTAGTCAAATGGTTGCCACTGTTACCACCGGAATATTGCCGTCAAAGAATTTTCAAAGTTTCGAGAGTAGGTAGATTTTGAAGGTGAGATTTGGGGAAGATGGATGGGTGGTGATAGAAGTTGGTACTCTCATATATCCTATTTCATGATGTAGTTGGTGTATAAGTTTAATTGTGAGATGGGGTGTTCCAAAATTAATAATATCCTTTTTAGTAATTTTATTTGAGGTTATTATAGTAATAAAAAAAAAGTTAAAAATTAGGGGGTCCAAAATAATTTATGAGGTGTTAATAACAGCACTCAATTCAAAATGAGTGCATTTACACAATTTTATAATTGAGGGAGTCAATATGTACAAATTATAAATGAGAGGTGTTATAATAATATTAGCTAATAGTTAAGAGTATCTCCATGAATTAACTAAAACATAAGTTCCACAGAGAGGGCAGAACTTCTCTCTCTAGGCGATTTCCGACGATATTCCGGCAACACTTCGGTGGCCCTTTTTACACTTCTAAAGTGTAGATGTAGACTTTTTATGTCTAAAATAGGGATTTTGAGAGTTTTCTTCTCCGATTTTAAACTAAATTTTTAGATTTTCGTCATCTACAATGGTTCCCTCATCTCTCAAGCCTTCATCTATATCATTGTGGGTGTACTTTCTTCTCAACTCTAGCTTCTGGCGGTGTCCCAAGTCCGGCAATGGCGACGGAGTTGGGCAACGACGACAGGGATGACATTAACGGAGACGGCAGGCTTTCAAACAAATCTACTTTTAAGACCATATATTTGAGAAGATCAATGGTTTTTTCTTAACTCGTAACTGATTTTTTGTATTTTTTTTATTTATTTTGTTATTTGGTTTGGCATGGCCCTTTGGGGTCGTATTGATGTATGTTGTTATTTATTAATATAAATATTTTTCATGTTCTCAAAACTAAAATAATAATAATTTAGCTAAATTACTAGAAATCTCTTGATTATGTGAAATTAACGTAAAACTCAAGGGATCTTAATTCACTATTTTCAAATTAAAAAATGAAGGAAATTCTAATATGTTTCGTTGTGTTTTTGTTTTCTTTATTTATTTTTGTTTTTCACAAAAACAAAAACAATGAAAATTGTAAAAAAAAAATCCACTATAATCATATTATTAATAAGGTTAGTTACTAAGACCCTTCAATTATTATAAAATATTACTTTACTTATTTCTTGTATGAACTGTACATATTAAGTAGTTTAACTTTAAAAATCATATAAATATAATTTTTTCGCAAGTGATATATATTTATGATTAAAAATGTCAATATATACATGTAAGTTCATAATAGTTTAAATTGATTGATGTAATTAACCCTTATTAAAAGAAGTCGTCAGTTTTCTTTGATGCTAGTGTGAGTCACGTGTTTCCTACTAAATAGGTGGGATCCAACATTACACCAACTCATAAGAGAAAGAAAACAAGATTTTAAGTTAGAAATCAAGATTTGAATGACATTGCTAACTACTTATTAGTGATATTTGATGTCAATTGTGATGGGAATTTTTTTTTTTCCCCATTCAAGTGCCTTTATGTAGGAATGGCAACGGGCCAGGGCGGGACCAGGGATTACACTCCCCGTTCTCCATTCCTGATGGTAAAAATTTCCCCGGCCCCGGCCTCGATTCCCGATAGGAAACCTATCACCATCCCTGCTCTGCCCCAGCCTCCCAACGGGGATCGGATTTCCCGACCCCAAAAATTCCCCGCCCCCTCCCCCCTAAAAAAAGAGAGCAAAATAGCATCTGTTTCATCTCATCAACGTCAACAACAACTATAGTCCACAAAATCATCATCAATGAATCAACGATCATCATCATCATCAACATCAACAACAACATGTATATCTTTTTGAGGACTAAAGCAGCTTAGAGATTGTATTAATTATCAGAAGCAATTCTTACAGAAGTTGCAAGAGAATGAGCAGAGTGTACCTCGGCTCTGTCTACTTTTTCTAGGACAACATGCACAAATTTTTTAGAGCATAACAAAATATCACTCAATAGAGAGTGAAGCTGCCAATCACTATGTTGATTAGAGGTATACAGAAGTTGCACCAAAACCAGGCAATCGGTTTGCAAGAGGAGACACTGGATACCTTGCTGGGATGCCCAACGCATTGCATGGAGAACCGAAGCAGCCTCTGCTTGTTGAGAAGAGAGCATAGGAGGCCCCAAAATGGCTTCATGCTTGACAATGTGGTTATCGGCATCCAGCCAAACCCAAGCCAACCCAGTTCTGTTCGTAACCGAGATCCAAGACCCATCGACAACAATCCGTTGTTGCGGAAAATCTGCAAGGGAAAAGGCAGCATTCTGCAAAACAATTTGTGTATCAGTGGGCCGAAGAGCAGCAGAAGCAGCAGATGACATGTTATGAGGAACATAAGGGTATGGTGACAGAAAAGTGAATAACAAGTCCCCAGCTGTGGCTAATGTATGCGCAATGGACACAACTTCAGACCGAAATTCAATCGAATTATGCTGCAACCAGATGGCCCATAATAAGGCAACGGAATGAACTAAAATCTCAACATTTGCAATTTGCTCCACCCAATTCTTGAACCAGGAGGAGAAGGATAAAGGGATTCCCACTCCAAAATCTAATCCCAATACAGACCCACGCCAAACCCGGTGAGAAAATGGATAGTCGAAAAATAGATGTTCAATAGTTTCCTTAGATTCGGCGCAGCGGGAGCAGAGAGGTTCAACATTGAGCCCTTGTTTCTTGAGTTCGTGCTTAACCGGGAGACTATTGTGTAGACATTTCCACAAAAACAAGGTCCATTTGGGAGGGATCTTTAAGTGCCATAATTTTTTCCAGAGTGACCAATCCGGATCAGGCCTACAATAGTCCGGGAACTGTCGCATTAAGGCCTGCTTGTAACCTGATTTAATCGAATATTGGCCGTGTTTCAATGGGCTCCAAACAAGTTTATCCTCAAGCGCCTCATGTGGAATGTGAATTGATAAAATGTGAGGTTTAACATAGGCAGGAAAAAACACATTTAATAAATCCAGTCGCCAAGAATAAGATGAGGGATCAATGAAATGTTCTACCCGCATTGCAGGACAAAGATCAGTCAACCCTCTTCCTCTACAAGGATTAGAGACAATCGGAATCCACTGATCTTCAAACGGGTTGATACTCTGACCATTACCCACGACCCACTGAAGCCCCGACAGTAACAACGAACGTTCCCATAATATATTCCGCCATCCCCAAGATGATGACGAAGAAGGCTGAGCCGCAAGGAAAGAACTTCGTTGACAATATTTGCCGAGTAGAACTTTCGAAAACAATAAATTGGGTGAGGACAAGAGCCGCCATGCTTACTTTGTTAGTAAAGCTTGATTGAAGCAAGTAAGGTTTCGAAATCCGAGACCACCCCAAATTTTTGGAAGGCATAAAGATGTCCATTTTTTCCATGGTAAACGCGGACCCTTGGGTGAAGCCCAGAGAAATTGGCGGATTATAGCTGTAAGCTTATGTTGGAAACAGTCGGGCATGCGAAAAACAGACATGAGATACACAGGAATGGAGTGAAGCACATGTTTCACCAAAATTCCCCTACCTGCAAAATTCAAAAATTCACATTTCCAGCCTTGAAGCTTGGATTGGACTCTGCTCAAAAGAGAATTAAAGATCTCGAACTTAGAACGCCCCGAGAACCCCAAGTAAGCGCCCAAATAGATCCTGGGTTTTGGTACAACTTTAACACCAAAAAGAGAGACGAGCCAGTCCTGGGCTGAAAGTAAAAAATTTGAACTTACGAAAAGTTCCGATTTATGAAAATTTATGCGAAGCCCAGAAAAGAAGCAGAAGGCATTTAAAAACCAGTGCAGGCACCAGATATCCGCTGGGTTATAGGGTTGAAAAATAAAACAATCATCAGCGAAGAGCAAGTGAGAAATGGGGGGGGGGGGTTTCCGTCTAATGGCAATTCCTCGACAGACATTAAGAGACGCCAAATGAGCAAAGCCTTCCGACAATACTTGCATGACTATCAAGAATAAATACGGCGAAAGGGGATCTCCTTGACGTAACCCCGCCTATGGTTGAAAAAACAATGAAGGAACACCATTAATGAGAACGGAAAATTGGACAGTAGAGACGCATTGGGAAATTAATTGTATCCATTTAGGTGAGAATCCCAATTTAGCCATGACGGCCTGAAGAAAATCCCAACTAACGCGGTCATAGGCTTTATTCATATCCAACTTTAACCCAAAACTAGATAAACCCCCCCGCTTATATTTTTTGATATAGTCAAGAACTTCATGGGCCAGCAAGACATTATCCGAAATAAGGCGACCCTTCAAGAAAGCACAATGATTGTCTGAAATTAAGTCCGGAAGCACCGAGCTAAGGCGATTAGCAAGAACTTTAGCGCCGATTTTATACATCACATTGCACAAACTAATGGGCCGATAATCATTCACCGTAAGAGGACTCTTTGTTTTAGGAATAAGGCAAATGAAGGTTTGGTTGAGTGGAGTAAATAAGTTGCCTGAATTAAGAAACCCCAACACCGCTTCAGAAAACGATTGTCCCATAGTCGCCCAATATGTTTGATAGAATCCCGCTATATATCTATCCGGCCCCGGGGCCTTAAATTTCCCCATTTGAAATACAGCAGATCTGAGTCCAGAGAGTCTGTTCAAGGATCGTTACAATCTTCGAGCTCTCATTCCTTTGAGATGGATTTGCGACTTCAACATCAACACCGTGTGTAACTATATCTATATATATACTAGTGAGAGAAGAAATGCTCAAATCAGAAATGCAGCAGCCTAAACATATATAGATTTCTCCAGAAATGCTCTCCGTCGCTGATCTCTCTCTAGACTCCTCCATCGCGGTTTAGATCTGGAAGGTGCATCTCTCTCACAGAGAGTAAGAGGAGAAGAATGAGTGCGTGAGTGAGAGAGAGAGTTGAGATAGATAAGTTAAGATAGATGTTATATAATAAAGCAATAAAGATATTATATTGATATAATAAAGTAATAAAGCTATACAGCAGCCTAAATATATATATATATACACATAAGAGGGGGAGGGGGGGGCCAACAAACTTATCACCGTCCCGGCCCGAAAATTAACGAAAATTTAATTTTTAATATTATCCCCAGTCCTATGGAGATTATTTTTGAAAAAAATCCATTCTAATTGGGATCGAGAAGTCGTATCCCCCGTCGGACCGAATTTAAATTGACATCCCTACCTTTATGATATGTTTGGTGCGTTGGAATAGTCTAAAGAAGTTTGATTATAGCAGTCTTGGGGACACATAATTTAGCCCATATTTAATTATCAAATTAAGTTAATTGATATTACAATAAATTATGTTTATTTGTATGATAATAGAGAGATTAATTTCTTGAAATTAAATTTATAAAAACTTTCATTATATAAATAATAATAATAATAATAAAAAATTTGTGACATTATTTTTTTAAGAACAAATTAGTTTTTTCACCATCCCATAACATCAAATTACAAATCCTACCCCATCCCCCACAAAAATGCTAATCCCACCAAACATAATTTATATGAAATCCGCTTAGATATTGTTAATCCAATATCATCACCAATCCAACTAAACAAACATAACCCTAGAATACACATTTCATTTTTTATGCCAAAAGTTTCTAGTAGAAAGGTAGTGGATAGAAGAAAACATTCTAAAATTATAAAAGGTATTATAACATGTACATATTAGTACAAAGTGTACCATTCCTCCAACACCAGTATGAAAACTACTAAAACACTTCCTTATCACCACTAGGCTACAAGGTCTAGATATACACAACACAGTCCCTAATCTAATTTTTATCAACAAAAGAAAAACACTCCGTAATCTAATCCAACCTTGAGTCCAACCTAGCTTTGCCCTAACCTTAAAACCAAAATTTACCCAAAATAAATTAAGTACTGCTCTAATTGTCTAAATTCAAGACAAATTTGAACATTAAAAGCAAACATAATGTAACAAGTAAATTAATCTGCAAAAATGACAAGAGACACAAGTACTTGAACAACAATAAAATCAAGAGGAGCATCAAAATGTAAAGAGTTCAAATACTTGAAAATTGAAATAGATACTCAAGTTCCAACTCTGATCCAAATTTGTTGGCTCAAAACTAAATTGTAAAAATAAAAACAAAATAAATACTAGAAAACAGAAAACAATAAAAGTCTCTTTTCATTGCCTGTCAAGCACCCAGGCATGCATACACACACACCTGAATGCTCAACACCACCACCATCCCACAAGCGAGGCTAGTGAACAGCAACAACAGGAGGCTCCAACTGAACCATCATGACAAAACTTACCATACCTACGACATGAAATAAACTCAACTGTTCTTGGTAACAAAACAACCATAAAATGAACCACCTTTCATTTCTTCTTCAGAGCAGCCTTGGTCACCTTTGCACCAGATGGGTCCTTCTTCTCCACACTCTTGATGACACCAACAGCCACCGTTTGACGCATGTCCCTCACGGCAAAACGACCAAGTGGTGGGTACTCTGAGAAAGTCTCCACCACCATGGGCTTTGTGGGAATCATCTTCACCATACCAGCATCACCATTCTTCAAGAATTTGGGCTCCTTCTCTAGCTCCTTACCAGACCTCCTGTCAATCTTGGTTAGAATCTCAGCAAACTTAACTGCAATGTGGGAAGTGTGGCAATCGAGCACTGGGGCATAACCATTTCCGATTTGACCAGGATGGTTCATGATAATGACCTGGGAAGTGAAGTTGGCAGCTTCCTTTGCAGGATCATCCTTTGAATTTGAGGCAACAAACCCACGCTTGAGATCCTTGACAGCAACATTCTTAACGTTGAACCCAACATTATCACCAGGTAGAGCCTCCTGGAGAGCCTCATGGTGCATTTCCACTGACTTAACTTCAGTGGTGAGACCAGTTGGGCCAAAAGTGACAACCATGCCGGGTTTGATCAAACCAGTCTCAACACGGCCCACAGGGACAGTGCCAATGCCACCAATCTTGTAGACGTCCTGAAGTGGGAGACGAAGAGGCTTGTCTGAGGGCCTCTTGGGTTCTGAAATCATGTCAAGAGCATCCAGAAGGGTTGGACCCTTGTACCAGTCGAGGTTGGTTGACCTTTCAATCATGTTATCACCCTCAAACCCAGATATTGGGACGAAGGGGATTTTGTCAGGGTTATATCCAACCTTCTTGAGGTAGGAAGACACTTCCTTGACAATTTCATCATACCTTGCCTTTGAGTACTTGGGAGTAGTTGCATCCATCTACAATGAAACATACAACAGAAGTTAGCATAAACAATTATTACAAAGACACATGAACATCATCCAAAAGCTAACATATGAACTCAGCTCCTGCCTCAGGATAGATTTCTGCCAATTACCTTGTTGCAACAGCAGATCATTTGCTTGACACCAAGAGTGAACGCAAGCAGAGCATGCTCACGGGTCTGCCCATCCTTGGAAATACCAGCTTCAAAACCACCAGTGGTGGAGTCAATGATAAGAACAGCACAGTCAGCCTGTGAGGTACCAGTGATCATGTTCTTGATGAAATCACGATGGCCAGGAGCATCAATGACAGTGCAGTAGTACTTGGTGGTCTCAAACTTCCACAAAGCAATATCAATGGTAATACCACGTTCACGTTCAGCCTTGAGCTTGTCCAAGACCCAGGCATACTTGAATGAACGTTTGTTCATCTCAGCAGCCTCCTTCTCAAACCTCTCAATCACACGCTTGTCAATACCTCCAAGCTTGTAGATGAGATGACCAGTGGTGGTTGACTTCCCAGAGTCGACATGGCCAATGACCACAATGTTGATGTGAACTTTTTCCTTACCCATTCTGAAATCCCAATGAAATACAAAGTAAAATTTCAACAGACTATAAGAGTAAGTTAATAGAAAAGTCCAACAAGTATGCCACCAAAAAGCAAAATAGATTAAACTGTCTAATTATTACTCCAACCTAGGCCTTAAAAAAAGGCTACAGTATTAGCATCAACCAACTACAAAAACTATTGTGTATTTTTATCTTCACGAAAGTACTTTACCAATGCTCAAGGAAACATGACTATGCTTAGTGCATTAGCATTAACTTCAATATAAACTAACTCACTCAATGATACAACACAACACCAACCACATATAATTCAGAGCCACAACAACCATAATACCACCTATTACGTCAAATATGTACAGAACAAACAGAACCACAAACTAATAAAATGGGTTTCGTTACTTGGCCATGGAAATTAAAAATCTTCATAATTTTTGTTGAAAACGTTTTCGTTACCATTGATCACATCGATTATTAGCATGGAGAAAAATGAATATATGATTCCCTAACAGTGACATAGACCAATGGCTGTCTGGAATGTTCAAACCCCCCAAAACAATCCTTTTAATATGTATTGACAACAAATAAACAACAATACAGTCCAAAAAATTGACTACTTCCAATTTCAGAATATATAAAAATATAATTTTTTTTTATACCTAAACATATTTATCTGGATAAACAACACTCAAAATAATTGCAACTGAATTTACTTTATATAAAAAGTTCGTAACTTGATTAAATCTATAAATACCCCATAAAAGTATTCATCAAAAAGCTGACTAACTAAACATAGATCCGCAAGTACAAAATAACAAATCAGGAGTTTCATATCCGAAAGAAAAAAGGTAGAACAAATCGCTACTGAATCAAGCTCTCCAAAAACAAAAAAATAAAATCAATCTAAAAATAGATAGATATAAACAGATAAAACCAAATCTAGATGACATATATATACCACTAACAAGAACTAATAAACAGAGACAAATCTAAAAGATTGATCATATTCAAGATCTACGTGCACATCAAACTTCAACACCAACAAATCGAGAAGATAGATCATATTCAACTTTCATTGCAAAAGTAGAATAAAAAACCACAATTCATAGCTTTGATACACCAAATCAGATCAATTTTCAAAAACAACACAGAGATTGAAATCGAGGAAACAGAGATTGAAATCGATCGAACCTTTACGAGAGACTGAGAGACGAAATCGAACTGCTTGAAGCTCAGTGAGAAGGCGTAGAGATCAAGCAGAGAGAGAGAGATATAAGAGGCAGCAGAGCCTCTGTGGCCTTTAAGTAGTGGTACAACACTGGAACCTTTGGGTCACAACTAGGGTTTTTTGGAAGCCGTTGGATTGTAATTTGATCCGACGGTGGAGAAGGGTTACATTATATAGCCGCCACGTTGAAATTCCATGACGCCTGCAATCCTCGCTTGGCTGTTTCGGTAAATTTAGAATGTCGGGTCGGGCCGTGCCGGTTTGTCTCGACCCAGTGGATTTGAGGTTTGGGCCAGATCCCGGTCCGAATCTCTAATCTAAGTGATTGTTTGGGATGACCTAAATAAGTGTACTTTATGTCTTTTTATGAAAAGATGTGCAGAAAAGTAGAGAGGTGATATGATAAAAAAAGATAAAAAAATAAAAAAATAAATTATTTTGGTATTGTCAAACTTGACCTAAATTTGTTTTGGGAAGTTGGCTTTTAGTCACTTTTTTTGGTTTGTAACAAAAGTCAAAAGTTGACTTTTTGAATTTTTTTTCATTTGGGAAGGTGGTTTTTAGCCAAGGATAAAATTATGAGTCAAAATATACTACATGGGTGAAGTTGTAATATTTTAAACTAAATAGGGATAGCTTGGTCATTTGATTATGATTTGACATCATAAACAAATATTAATCAAAAAAGCTAAAAGTCACTTTTTACCAACTTCCCAAATCATTTGTCTAAAAAAATCAAAAACTTAATTAAAAGCCAAAAAATTACTTTTTACCATTTTCTCAAAATAAGCCTTACTTTATGAATCCAAATGGTAAATTACACATTCTTTTTGTTAGGGGTGCATAGAAAAAAGTTTTTTTTGTTTTTTGTTTTTAAATTTTTTGTATTTTCAAAAAATGCATTTGAGAATTGCTTTTTTACTTTTTAAAAAGTATTATAATATGGTACTACATCATTTGTAAAAAATTTCATATTACTTTCATAAGATACTACATCATTTGTAAAAAATTTCATATTACTTTCATAAGAATATAATCTGTCCTAATCAATGAAATAAATTGAGAGTATTTCAATAATTTGGCATATGGTTTATTTGTCTCTTGCCAAAACAAAACGAGTGATTCTACTTACACCACTATTTAACTTCTTTATATCTTCCATCTCATTACACTATCAAAAAAATATAATTCTCATTACACCCTCAATATATTATCAAAATTAACCATAAATTAACTATTTCATCTCTTTACACCACTAATTTTGGTAACACGGTGCTAAACAATTTATATTATTCCGGTGTTATGCTGCCGAAAAAAATCGATCTCTCCAGCATTTTGTTGCTATACATTTATAGAGACACTTTCTTCTAAATAATGATTTTTTAATTTGTGGTATGCCTGTTCGGTAATACAACACTAATTTATTTGAATTATTCTAGTGTCATGTTACTGGATAATATTTTTTTTCTCAACATTATGTTGCCGCCTAATTAGATGATAATAAGAAATTAATTTAGGCTACTTGTGAAGTGCATGTTCTGTGATACATTGTCAGATAAATGTGATTACTCTAGTGTCATGTTGCCAAACTACAATAGAGTTGTCTAGGCTCCCGTTGCTGTACATTGAAAGATTTACTTTTTCCTTAAAGCATCCATAAAAAAATTTATAAATCAAACACGCGTCTATAAAATCATACATAAAAAGTATTCATAAAATTATTAATAAAAACATCAAGTGCACGAATCTATAAAATCTGTCATTGTTTGCATCCATCAATCAAACATGTTATCATAATTCGTCTTGGTAATTTGTAGGTAATTTTTCTCCCCTTAATAGAAATAAATATCCACACTTTTTAGAAGCTGTCAGGCCCAATCGTTCCCCTTTGATCTTCATGTTGTCTCTGTAGTAACCACTTCTTTTAGAAGCAAGTGTAAGTCTTGATTTTCTGCCATTGCCTCCCGCATCTGATGTCTTTATAACAATGACAAATCCAGTCTTCTTCCCAATGTCAGAAGCCCATTTAATTAATGCCTCACGATTACGAAAAATCTAAAGATAATAAATACATTTATATGTCAAATTATTAATAAAACTCAATACAAATTAAAAATAAGAAAAAATTGTAATCATAAAAAAAAAAAAACTTAACAAACCTCATCTGTAATGAATTCATGACTAGAGTCCACTAATGTTGCAGTACTTACATTGTTGCAATGTGTATAAGTATAATCCTTCTAGGCAAAAAAATAAAAAAAAATGAAACTAAAAATACATGGTAATGAGAAGCTAAAGAAATTAAAAAAATTCAGTTTAGGGTTACCAGAAATGTATCTTTTATTCGGTAGTTGGTTACCAGACTTATCTTTTTTGTTCGACAATGTGATGTCGGACTATTTTATTTTGTTCGATTTCGAACCACTAAATAAAAGTCGAACATTAGTCTAGAAAAATAAAACAAAACCTACTAAAAAAAAAAGACTCGCCATTTCACTTTTTTGATGGTTCTTTACCTCCGTTTCTTCATTCATTGCTTTCTTTAATGATCAAAATACTATGATTCTCACTTTTTTGAAGAGAGATGTGTAAGAAAAAGGAAAAATTAAGAAAAGAAAAAGAGGAATAGGGATTGAAGACCAAGGGGTGTAAAGAGATAACAAAATATATTTAATTTTTGTCTTTTGTTCTTAAAAGTAATTTCACACATGGATAAAATTGGGGGGAGAAAAAAACTCATATAGAAGGTGTAAAGAGATAAAGCAGTGGTGTAAGTAGAATCAGCCAACAAAACGAGTGATTCTACTTATACCACTACTTTACCTCTTTACACAATCCATCTCATTACACTACTAAAAAAAATGTAATTCTCATTACACCTATTATATTACCAAAACTAATCCTAAAGTAAGACTCTTCAAAACACTTTCATCTCTTTACGCTAATGTTGTGTTTGGCTATGGGATTTGAAGAATGATTTAGAAAAGAAAATGGAAAAAGGTGAGTGAAATGTGAATAAAACATATCTATATTTCACATAGTTTCACACACCTTTTTCCTTTCCCTTTCCAAATTCATCCCAAAATCCCCCAACCAAACACAGCATAATAGTTTTTGGAGGGAAAATAAGGGAACAGAGAAAGATGCAGCAAGGGAACAGAGAAAGATGCAGGGAAGATAATGAGTGGATCCCACAGCGAAGTTCCTGTTAGGTCACACAATGCTAAACAATTTAAATTCCTCCAGTGTTATGTTGTCAGAAAAAATAGATTTCTCCAGCGTTTTGTTACTATACATTTACAGAGCCACTTTCTTTTAATCAATGATTTTTAAATTTGTGTCGGGCCTGTTCGGTAATACAATGCTAATGAATTTGAATTAATCCAGTGCCATGTTACCAGACAAACTTTTTGTCAGCAATACGTTGTCGTTCGATTGGATGATAACAAGAAATTAATTCAAGGCCACTTGTGAAGTGTCTGTTCAGTGATACATTGTTATATAAATTAGATTACTCTAGTGTTATGTTGCCAAATTATAATACATTTGTCTACCCACTTCTTGTTGTACGTTGAAAGATTTACATTTTCCTTCAAGCACATAAAAAACATCCATAAATCAAACACACATCCATAAAATTATACATAAAAAGTATCCATAAAAATATTTATAAAAATATCAAGTGTACAAACATCCATGAAAGCATCCATAAAATCTATCGTTGTTTGTATCCACCAATCAAACATGTTATCACAATTCGTCTATATCGATAATTTCGGTAGTTGCTACATCAGGGCTGACAAGCGTACGGAATTAATGAATACACATAAAATCATACATAAAAAGTATCCATAAAAATATTTATAAAAACATCAAGTGTACAAACATCCGTGAAAGCATCTATAAAATCTGTCATTGTTTGTATCCATCAATCAAATATGTTATCACAATTCGTCTATATCGATAATTTCGGTAGTTACTACATCAGGGCTGACAAGCATACGAAATTGATGAATACGGGTAGTATATGCTTTCTCACATCCATTAGCGCACGCGTGATGAAAACGAATCCAATTATTTGCCATCTAATGTATTTATAACAATGACAAATCTAGTTTTCTTTCCAATATCAGAAGCTCATGTAATTAATGCTTACTAAAAATCTAAAGATAATAAACACATTTATACGCCAAATTGTTAATAAAATTCAATACAAATTAAAAATAAGAAAAAAATCATATTTATAAAAAAACTTAACAAACCTCATCTGTAATAAATTCATGACTGGAGTCCACTAATAATGCAATACTTACATTGTTGCAATAAGTAGAAATATAATCCTTCCAAGCAAAAAAATAAAAAATATAAAAAAATAAAACTGAAAATACATGGTAATGAGTAGCTGAACAAATTAAAAACATTCGACATTGGGTTACAAGAAATGTATCTTTTAATAAGACATGCAACATCCACTTATCATTTGTAGATAATTTTTTCCCTTTAATAAAAATGGACATCCATACTTTTTAGAACTTGTCAACCTCAATCGTTCCTCTTTGATCTTCTTATTGTCTCTATAGTAACCATTTCTTTCACAAGCAAGTGTAAGTCTTGGTTTTCTGCCATTACCTCTCGTTTCTGATGTCTTTATAACAATGACAAATTCAATCTTCTTCCCAACGTCAAAAGCCCATTTAATTAATACTTGACGACTACTTAAAATCTAAACATAATAAATACATTTATACGTCAAATTTTTAATAAAATTCAATACAAATTAAAAATAAGAAAAAATCATATTTATAAAAAAACTTAACAAACCTCATCTGTAATAAATTCATGACTGGAGTCCACTAATAATGCAATACTTACATTGTTGCAATAAGTAGAAATATAATCCTTCCAAGCAAAAAAATAAAAAATATAAAAAAATAAAACTGAAAATACATGGTAATGAGTAGCTGAACAAATTAAAAACATTCGACATTGGTTACAGGAAATGTATCTTTTATTCGGCAATTGGTTACCAGACATATATTTTTTGTTCAACAATGTAATGTCGAATTATTTAGTTTGATTTTGAAACACTGAACAACAGTCAAAAAATAATCTAGAAAAACGAAATGAAAACCTATCAAACAAATTAAAAAAACTCCCAATTTTACTTTTTTTGATGGTTCTTTACCACCGTTTCTTCATCCATTACTTTCTTCTATGATCAAAACACAATGATTTTTATTTTTTGAAAAGAGATGTGTAAAAGAGAAGAAAAATTGAGAAAGGAAAAAAAGGAATAGGGATTGAAGACTAAGGGGTGTAAGGAGATAATAAAATATACTTAATTTTAGTGTTTTGTCCTTAAAGGTAATTTCACACATCGGTAAAATTAGAAAAAAAAAATTAAAAATCTCACATGGAATGTGTAAAGAGATAAAGTAGTAGTGTAAGTAAAATCACTCAAACAAAACATACAAATAAGCTGCTTTTTACTTATTTTGAAAAAGCAAAAGAGTGATATTACTTACACTATTAGTTTACCTCTTTATACCCTTCATCTCATTACACCATTAAAAAAAAAAAATGTGATTCTCATTACACCCATTATACTATCACCCTAAGCTAAAAACTCTTCAAAACCCTTTCAGTTTTGTCTCTTTGAGCCAGTAGTTTTTGGTAGTACAATGCTAAAGAATTTGAATTACTCTAGTAATATGTTACCAGACAAACTAATTTGTTTTAGCCATTTGTTGCCATTCGATTGGATGATTTTATTTTATTTTAACAAGAACTTAGTTGGAGCCCATTTGTGAAGTGTCTATTTGGTGATACATTGCTCTGCAAAATAAATTACTCCAATGTCATATTGCCGAACTAAAATAAATTTGTCCAGACACCTATCGTTTTACGTGCATTGTAGATTGTCTTCATTGTTGTTGCATTAAAGGCATCCCTTCGTTTCAATGTAATCAATATATCTTTTGGTTGCACATGCCAACTAATAAGGATGTTTCTTCCTCAGATATCTACCAGTAAATGAGTGTCATTCAAGATGTTCAACAGCCAGATGATTGTACTTGTGTTGCTACAATAAATAGAAGCATAATCTTTCGAAGTTAAAAAAACAAAAATGATATAAAAATAAATAAATAAAACTTGAAATGCACAGTAATGAGTAACCAAATAAATAAAAAAAATGTTTGGCCATGGGTTACCGAAAATGTATTTTTTATTCGGCAGTGGGTTACTAAGCATATATTTTTTATTCGGCAATGTGATTTCGAACTATTTTACTTGATACACCGAACAAAAGTCAAAGAATTCTCTCAAAAAACGAAACGAAAGCCTACCAAACAAATAAAAAAATTCACCATTTCACTTTTTTTATGATTCTTCACCACCGCTTCTTCATCCATTACTTTCTTTTATGATCAAAACACTATGATTCTCACTTTTTGAGAAGAGACATAAGTATAGAAGAAAAACTAAGAATGGAAAAAAAGTAGTAGGGATTGAAGAACAATGGGTGTAAGGAGATAATAAAATATATTTAATTTTAGTCTTTTGTCATTAAAAGTAATTTCACACATGACAATGGGTGTAAGGAGATAATAAAATATATTTAATTTTAGTCTTTTGTCATTAAAAGTAATTTCACACATGGATAAAATTAAAAAAAAAAAATCTCATATGAAGGGTGTAGATAGGTAAACTAGTGGTGTAAGTAGAATCACTCAAAACAAAAAAGTAGTTTTTTCTAACTTCCCAAAAGAGCCCTTAAAGTATATATCTTTTGTAAGGGGGGAGAGGAGAATTTGACATAGAAATTGTTAATTGCACACGTAATTAAAGGGTTAAGGTTGCCTTTCTTTTTACACAACTATGAATATGAACTAAAAAATATGAAGATTAAATAGGTTGTGTGAAGGTTAAAATGTGTGTAATCTAACGCAATTCATCTCACCAGTGTAAAAAATTATATCGAAACGTGAACACCAATCCACTATTGACTTGCAAGTAATCCAAAAAATAACTTGAATCTAGTAGTTATAGAATGTTTTATCCATTAGATTATGTTTTGGTATTATAAGGAAACTTGTTTGTTTTTCAAGTTTTATTGAATGTTTAGATATATGAATGGGTGTCATTAATTCATATTGGATGCATAGTAGATTATTTATGAATTTTTTGATTTATTTTCATGAATATTGGCATATACATTATTTTTGTGGGTGTGTTAATATTTAAACAAGTTACCCTCGTGTTGTGATGTGAAATAAGTTTATTTAATTTGTTTATTGTTATGTTAACCATATTAGGAGTGTCGTGTTTGAATTGATAAGATTAATATCAAGATAATTAACATGTTTAATTAAATGAATCATACTAATGTTAAGGTATTCTATGAACCTGCAATAACATGACATGTAAACTACATGACATAACACAATTCTCACCCCTGTCTTTTGGTATCTAACTAAAAAAGTCATAACTATGTTTGGTTTTATTTCCAAAAACTATTTTTAGATGAGTTTTCATTTGTCTTTGATAATATATATATACTAGCGTATGCTCGTGCCTGAAGGCACGGCGTAAATAATGTTCGGTGTATATAATGTTTGGATTAAAATGTAGTTATAATTTCTACGTATAATGTCAATTAATTAATTAATTTAATGCATCCTCAACATTTAATTAATCATGGGAAACATGAATATCTTAGAAACAGTGTATGTTGTCACCACACATAAGCCAATTTTGTTTAAATAATTGTAGGTATCATTAAAATTTAGGAAAAATTAACCAAAAAAAAAACTTAAAATTTAATACTTGTAACAAAATAAACTATTGAGTTTTTAATCTTATAAATTTAAATATTAAATTTCTAATTTATTTTCAATCTAAACTATTTGCATGTTTTCAATCTAAACAATCTGAGATCTTTTACGTGTTTTACTAAATAATAAATAATAAATAAATACCATTAACAATCCAAGCAATTTGTCGGTAGGAAGAAGTAGCCATCAGTCCTTTGCAGGGTCTGTCTTTCAAATATTTTTTTTGCATTCCTATTGAAAAAAATAATAATATATCAACACATTTTGCATTCCTATTGAAAAAAAAAATAATATATCAACACAATTTGAATAGCACATAAAATAAATAAAGATGTAATAGTGACCAAGCATTTGAATGCGCAACACAATTAAGAAAACCGACCACTATCTCTTTTCTTACTCTGTTTATTTTCAATTTCTTCACCATGTCTTCAACAGGGATGAAGAAATAGTCCATGAATTATGAGTGAAAATTTAAATTGGGTTATAGAAATAAAATAAAATGAAACAAAAATAATGACCCATGAGAGACATGCGGGTTGAAGAAAAAAGAAAAGAAAAGAAAATGTTGAGACCCAAACCAATGTCAACAGCCCCCACAAACCAATGTCAAGACTCTCGCCTGACAACACAAAAAAGAAAAACAAATATATATCAGTTTAAGGTTTAGAAACACCAACCCAAATACATAACATAACTTAACACCAACCCATATAAATTGAAAGATGCATAAATAAAAAAATGAAAAAAGAAAGAGAAATCCAAATACATATCAGTTTAAGGTTTAAAAACACAAATCCAACACAAACACATCAGTTTAAGGTTTAGAAAAACAAATACAAATCCAAATCTTAGAAACATAAACCCAAATTGATGGGTCTCTTTTGCTTTGATTGAAAAGAAACATAATGATTTTCAATGCTCTGTTCCAATGCTTTGTGTCTCTTAAGATTTGTTTCCAACTTTTTCTGTGGTTCCATTGAATGCATACCTAATCACACAAAACCAAACAGAAATCTTAGAAACACAAACACAAATCGAAACCGAAATCTTAGAAACACAACCTAATCAACAAAAATATATAAAACTGTCTGAAACTCTATTTCAAACTGTTTGAAACTCTCCTATTCTCCCTACCATCATTGACCACCTATCTCAAACTGTCTGAAACTCTCCTATTCTCCCTACCAATAATTGCAACAAAGCTATAGAAAAATTCAATTCAAGATTGCAATTAGAGAAGCGCAGTCAACATCATTAAGCATATCACAGAATCATAATAATTCCATTCCACCGAGGCAATACAATCAAGTATTAACATAATTACCATACATGTAAAACAACTACAGTTTTCACTACCCAACTAATCAATCAGCAAAAATTAACAAATAAAACACAACAAAACAACACCAAATCAACACAACCGACCGAACAAAACTCAAATTTACCTAGCTAAAGCCGGTTGCTTTCGCTCCAGTTGGTCATCGTCACCGCCCTCCAAATTTCGCTTCCCTCTACTCATAGAGTTCATCCTCTCCATTTACCTGGTCTGCATTACCCTCAATTTGCAGAACCCCTCAAAATTCACAGATCTGCAACACAAATTCTCTCCAAAAAAATCTCAAAACCCCTAACAATCAAACACACAAGTTTCCTGTTCACGGATCTACAAATTCAGCTAGAAAATGAAGGAAAGTGAGAGTAAGTAATAGTAATTGAGGGATTGGTGATGATCCAAACACATACCTGTATATGCGTGATTGAGAGTTTATAGGGTGTCTTCAAAAAAAATTGAAACCAAAATGAAATTAAAAAAAAAAAAAAAATATTCAACAACAAAGAATAAAGGATTATTAGCTAAAAATACAAATGTAATACAGATTGTGAACTGTATTTTATAATACAAATTAGGTTTTTTTAAATCCTTTATTCTGGATTATTAGCTAAAAATACAAACAATAGATCTCATGGATTAAACAATGGGATAAAGGATTATATAATCCGCAAAATGGGATTATAGATCTCATGTTTTCAAACAAAAATGGGATCCCACAAATATGTTTAGGCAGAAACAATGGGGTTATAGATCTCATGTATATAACAAAGGATTATATACAAACAAAAATGGGATTAAAAATACAAACAATGGGATTATATAATATAGATTATATAATACAAATTATTCAACAACAAAGAATAAAGGATTAAGAACAGTTTACAATTCATGACATAACTAATAAAATTAAAAGAAGGTACAAAATTTGATATGAGCATAGAGTAAATTGGGCCTTTGGATTAAACAGTCTGAGAGTAATCAAAAATGTTCTATTATCTATAAAAACAAATTATATACATCCATGTGTTTACAGAATGCAATCTATGTGTTTACAGATTATATACAGAATGCAATTTATGTGTTTACAGAATGCAATCTATAATAAAAAACTAATAAAAACAAAATGCAATCTATGTGTTTACAGATTATATACATTCATTTTATATTGATATAATTATAGATCGTATATAGCCATTATATATAAACAATAGATCGTATATATGCATTATATATCCATTGTAGATCGTATTTATGCAGTACCTCAAAAAAATGAAATGTGTGAATCTGATTTACAATGTGTTTCACACACATCAAAATTAAATTTATATCATACAATCTGGCTATATTTGTTTGGAAGGATATGACTTTAGGACAATTTGGCCATCATTTTACGTTCGGCTAAGAAAATTGGGGTCTGGACTAACGGACCAGGATCCTCTGCTTTGATAGATGTCGCTGTGGTCTTGGTGTGGTTAAACCATGGCATGAAACATCAGTAATAACATAAACCAATGGTTCAGATCTACTTTTAAATTATATAACGCAAAAACCCATCAAAATCCAAATTTTTAGAACGAAAATTGGAATAATTTTTTTTAAAACAAAAGCAGTAATTAGAAGTGTAAGAAGCTAAGGCCTGTTTGCTTGGGCAAATTGTAGCATATGATTGGGATAATTAATCCATGGGACTCACATTTCAGAGTTTACAATTCATGACATAACTAATAAAATTAAAAGAAGGTACAAAATTTGATATGAGCATAGAGTAAATTGGGCCTTTGGATTAAACAGTCTGAGAGTAATCAAAAATGTTCTATTATCTATAAAAACAAATTATATACATCCATGTGTTTACAGAATGCAATCTATGTGTTTACAGATTATATACAGAATGCAATTTATGTGTTTGCAGAATGCAATCTATAATCAAAAACTATGATTCCGATAGACATTCTATTCTATCCAATAAAATTGGCAAATTTTAAAAACTACAACTAATAATGTAAAACAAACATATAATTGATATTACATATTTCCATATCCATAGCAAAACAAACATGAACACCAATCCTACACTAATCCCCTAGATTGTTAATTTTCTCACTATTAATCCTACAAATCAAACAGGGCCTTATAGTATAAAATCAGTAGGAGATGCTATTGAAATAACATACAAATGAAACTTTCCTAAACAAAAACTGAGAGTATCCAAAATCAATAGAAAGTCTTGAATCAAAATGCAGAATTATAAGCTGTGAAGCAACCAATTAAAGTCTAACATACAGATCAAATTCTATGTGAGATCTAAAATACAAATTAAGAAGAGAAAACAGAGAAACTCAAAACTCCACCCATTTCAAAAAAGAAGATTCCAGTATCAGGATAAATTGAAATTAACATGAGATAAATTTTATTTCAGAATGATCTTTAAATAATACCCTCACTTAAAATTTTCAAATACCCTTCTCCCTTAAAGAGTGGTTTTGTTTTAAATAATACCATCACTTCGCAGCTAGAGAAAGATCATGAAAGATCATTCTGAAATTTTCTGAGTTACACCGTGTGTTCCATTGTGTTCAAATTGTTATTATTTTACTCGATGACTACAGGAAGTCAAATTTGATTTTAGAATTTCATGACTACAGGAAGTCAAATTTGATTTTGTGATTTCAGAATTTGATGACTACAGGAAGTCAAATTTGATTTTGTGATTTCAGAATTTGATGACTATAGGAAGTCAAATTCATTCAACAACACTTTCTTTGTCTTTCTCTTAGCATGAGTTATTAACATGAATACTCTTTAATTTTTACTCAAGGCATGGTGTAAAAAACAGGAAATCAGTCAACCTGAAATTCATGAGTACTCTTTAATTTTTAACATGAGTACTCTTTAAACATGAGTTATTAACATGAGTATTCATAAGTTATTAGCATGAGTACTCTTTAATTTTTATTCTGAAATTCATCTCTGGAGTGATAAACTAACCCAGCAGAATTTTAAGGCACAAAGTCAGAATTCAAGGTAGCAGAGTTTTAAGGCACAAAGTCACAAATGTATGAGTTTTAACCCAGCAGAAATTCATTCAGCAAAGCAATTTTGTTATTAACATGAGTCTTAACCCAGCAGAATTTTAAGGCACAAAATCAAAATTCAAGCTACAAAAAAACTAACCAGGTGCCAAAGTGATAAACTAACCCAGCAGCCGAAGTGATGTCGAGCCGGAGTGAACAACAGTGAGAGTGGAACGGTGTAAGCTCTGATGAAGTACGGTGAGAGTGGAACGGTGTAATCTTTGGAGTGAATATGTGATCAATATTCATATATTACTCAAGCACGCATGGTAACAGTAATTAAAGTACAGCCATTATGTACTACAATTTAAAAGGGCTATAGAGAGGTGGAAAAGGGGAAAGAAAAAAATAATCAACATATGAGATATGAGCAACATTTGTATTTTTACAGTCTTTCTTTTACATTCCACTAAAAACACACTTGCATCCCATATGTGGATAATTTTTTTCTCTTCTACCACCTGTATGTTGTTCCCCTAAATTAAATTAAAAAAAAGAAGAAGAAATAACTTCTTTTATTTTATGATAAATTAGTAGGTGACCCGTGTAATGTAAGAAAATTTATTTTTAAAATAAAAAATTAATTTTGACCCTTAATACTTTATGTGTAGACAATTTTAACAATTGAAAGTCAAATACAAATAGATTTGCTAATAGCTGATGGGAATTTTTGTTACTGCATATGATCCTATGTAAAATAGGCTCATAAAAATAATTTCTTTTAAAGTTTTTTAAAAAATAAACGTGTATTTTTAACCCGAAATCAAATCCTCATTTGTGTTAATCAAATTTACCAAAAATCATGAATTCCACTTGACTACAAATCAAATCCTCATTTTCTTATTTGTATAATCAATTTTACTTCCCAAAATTACTATATGTGGGAGAAAGATTTCATATTTAAAAAGTATAAAAGATTTCATATCATAAACTGAGAAAGATTAATAATATTCTTTGGTTTCTCTTTTATATTATTAGATTTCATATTATAATGAATACATTATAATATACTTCCCAAAATTACTATATGTAAGAGAAAGATTTCATTATGAATACATTATAATTCAAGATTCATGTGGGGATATATTTTCTAAATACCAGCACGTGGCAAGGTGACGCCGACGTGTCAGCCGAGGTGCCACGTGTCTTGGTTGTGACGCCGAGGTTATCTCGGCAAGGCCGAGGTTATCTCTGAAGATATCAGAATCCGAGATCAATAGATAATGGGCAATAGTCCTAGAGTAAAGAGGGAACTTTGCTAAGATAAGGATAAAGCTCTTAGGGAGTTTATCTTTATCTCTTGTGAAATCCAAAGTAAGCACTGAATGGGAGTCCATAGAAGTCAGGCTTCTAGTGGGACTAGGTTTTTGTTGGCTATAAAAGAGAGGCACCCCATGGGTCAAAGGTATGCTTTTTATGCTTAAGCTTGCGAGTTTAGTACTTGATTATCTTTGAGAGATATATTGACTTGATCGTCGGAGTGCCCCCGGGTGGTTGAACCACCGTCGGAGACTTCTCTTTCTGTTGCAGGTTAGCTAGAGGCCATCTATTCTGCCAGTGCTTTTCCAGTTGATTGCTAGGCGGGCAGTGTGGTCAGAAAATCACTCACACAATTTGGCGCCGTCTGTGGAAAACTTAGAAGAATAGATGGCCAGTAACGGACAAAAGGAAAACATTGGGGGCGACACTCCTGCTGGGAGTGGCAGACCAATTGACCTTGACATTGAAGGAGACAACCACAATGCAGAAACTCATTACTAGGGCCACGGAGAGAAAGACGTCGGCCAAGAGGGCGACACTTCGAAGAAGACTGACCAAGGCAAATACTATAACGAAGATAACCTTCAGGTATGGAGGGATAGGTGCCTACGGAGGGATGAGGAAGTAAAAGAATTGGCAAACAAGTTGGCAGACCTACAGTCGGTCGTCAACTTCATGATGCAAAATAATGTCATGTAGCCACCATACCCGCTGCAGGATACGCCGATGCCAGCAACTAATACTCAGAAGAGAGGAAGAAGAACAATCCCCGAAGTCCCTCAGTACACCAGGAGCGAAAAGGCACTCTCACTGACCTTCCAAGGAAGTCGGACGAGAGAAGCCGAGACGAGAGGAGTCCCAAAGAACGTATCACACGAAGGACCCAGAACCCAAAGAACATCGGCATGTTCAAAGGCAGACGCTCTGCTTTGACACAACACATGGAGAGAGATCAAAACGAGCCCACCACGAGCCCACCACGAGGTTGAAAGTAGTGTGCCGAAAAGATTGAAGTCCAAAGATAGCCAAGCTCTAGGGAGGAGTAAAGAAGACTTGAGAGATTACCTCAAGAGGAAACAACAGAATGCTGAAGCCGAGGTAACTTCCCCGGTTAAGCCGAAGCCACCATTCTCGGTGGAACTGGACAAATTTGAAGCACTAAAGAGATTCAGTATGCCGAGGTTCCAAATATATGATGGTAAGTCAGATCCCAACTTTCACGTTGGACTATACCTGAATTCAATGGCGTTATATAGTGGGAACGAGCCGTTGCTCTGCAAAGTATTCTCCTCATCCTTCGGGGAAATTGCATCAGATTGGTTCCATAAACTACTGAAGGGAAGCGTAAAGACTTGGGAAGGCCTGGACGAGATGTTCGTGGCCAGGTTTGTGACAAATAAACTACAACCCTTGAGGGTCGACGCACTGATGGCTTTAAAAATCACCAAGGATAAAGGCCTTAGGGCCTACGCAAAAAGGTACTATGAGGTGGTCAATCGAATACTTGATTACAACCAAGAGGTGGCGGTCGTGTCCTTCAAAAATGGCCTGAAAGATGACTGCCCACTACGGAAATCTTTGGCAAAGACATTGCCAAAAACCATAGAAGAACTCATGGCAAGAATCGAGAAATATGCCAGAGCCGAGGAGGATGCGTCGGGAAATAAAGAAACAAAGTAGGAGAAAGGAAACGGCTCGCCGAAGCGAAGCCGAGGTAACAACGGACCGACCAAACAAGAAACGGAATTGAAGGCTAAACAGGCAGTAACGACTATATTCCGAGTCCCGATCCACAAAGTCTTGGATCAAATACGAAACCAACCCTATTTTAGAGGACCGACAAGAACACCAAGGGAATTCATGGGAAGAAACGTCGTTAGGCGTTGTGCTTACCACAATGAAGAAGGGCACCCAACTCAGGGCTGTAGAGCCCTAAAAGCACACTTAGAAGACTTGGTAAGGCAAGGACATCTGAGAGACCTTGTTGATGAGACCAGGACTAGAGAAGAACAGGCAAGACTGTCTTAAGCACCAGCAGCTCCGCCTCCCCCAGCACAGCAACCACTCGCAAGAGGACCAAGGGTGGTTAATGTAATTCACTCAAAAGTGAAAGAAAACGACATACGAGGGGAGACTCAGAAGGTAAAACACCTACAGCACATGAACCAGGTTGGACATAAAAGACCTCAGCCTGAAGAATGCCTGGGACCGACGATAGCCTTTACTGAAGCCGACCTAGAGATGGTCCAGCATCCACATAATGATGCCTTGGTAGTATCCCCCCAGGTTGGGGAGTGCCAAGTGAAACACAGCCTGATTGATCAAGGCAGCTCTTGAGACATCATGTATGTTAGATGTTACAAAGAGCTGGGCCTTCATCCCGATGACTTGGAGCAATCAAATGGCCCGATGGTCGGCTTTAATGGAACGTCGACATGGCCACTGGGCGCAACCAACTTGGAAGTACAAGCTGGCACTAAGAAGATCAAGACAGAATTCATGGTAATTGATACACCCTCTCCTTACAACATCATCTTGGAAAGGCCATGGTTGCATGCAATGGGGACAATTCCCTCAACATTGCATCAACTACTGCGATTCCCAACAAAGCATGGGATAGAAGAAGTTAGGGGCGATCAGCTACAGGCAAAGAATTGCTCCATGGCAGCAATGAAATCCACCTGCAACATTCAAGAGCCAGAAAAAGCAGAAATTGAAGATGAGGACGTGGAAGTCCTAGAAGACGTCGGCAAAGAACCAGCCGAGAAGAGCGAAGAGGCGCTAAAGAAAATCCTCGTCCAGGATGGAGATGAAGAACGCTTCTTTCTTCTCGACTCGGGCTTAGCCGAAGAAGAGGAAAAAGAGTTGGAGACTTTTTTAAGAGCCAACATTGAGGTGTTAGCCTGGACACCTTATGAAATGCCTGGCATCGACCCCGAGGTCACTTGCCACGGACTGAATGTCGACAAGTCGGCAAAACCTGTGATTCAACGAGCCAGAAGACCGACGTTAATGCACGTCGAAGCAGTAGAGGAAGAAGTGGATAGACTTCTAGAGGCCAGGGCCATCCGAGAAGTTCATTACCCGACATGGCTATCCAACACAGTAGTGGTAAAGAAAAAGAACGGTAAATGGAGGGTCTGCGTAGATTTTACAAGCCTGAACAAAGCTTGTCCCAAAAATAGCTTTCCTTTACCCGAGATTGACCAGTTGGTAGACGCCCCATCTGGACATGGAAGGATGAGCTTCCTGGACGCTTACAGAGGATACCACCAGATAGCCATGTACCCCCCAGACGAGGAAAAGACAGCGTTTATCACCCCGAAAGGGCTGTATTGTTACAAGGTAACGCCTTTTGGGTTGAAAAACGCAAGAGCAACTTACCAAAGGTTGGTAACCAAGATGTTCAAAAACCTGATTGGCCAAACAGTAGAAGTCTACATCGACGACATAGTCGTGAAGACCAAGGAACCTAAGGGCCATCTTGCCAACCTAAAAAAAGTCTTTGATATACTCAAAACATACCGGCTCCGACTTAACGCGTCGAAGTGCGTGTTTGGAGTTGGACCGGGTAAATTTTTAGGGTACCTGGTAATAAGAAAGGGCATTGAGGCCAGCCCAGATCAAATCAAGGCCATTCTAGAGCTGAAAAGCCCGACGTCGACAAAACAGGTTCAGATGCTTACTGGAAGGGCCGCAACCCTAAACAGGTTCATAAGCCGAAGCTTAGACAAATGTAAACCTTTCTTCAACCTGGTAAAGAAGGCCACGGACTTCCTATGGACTGAGGAATGTGAAGCCGCCTTGTCCGACCTAAAGAAATATCTGACCACGGCTCTAGTCCTCTCAACACCTGAACCTGGAGAAGAACTGTTTTTGTACTTAGCCATTTCAGAACATGCAATAAGTGCGGTATTAATTCGTG